CAGGCTGCCGGAGTCCCGCCACCCCCGCATCCCGCGCCCCATCCGGCCCCCCACGCCCCTCTCCCTCTTCTGCGCCTCTCTGCCCCCCGCCCCAAGCTCCTCGCCCCTCTCCCAGTGTCCCTCTCCACGATTCCCCGCGTCTCTCCACCCCTCCTCGCGGCTCCCCAGCTCCCTGGGCTCCTTCCCCGTCTCCGCTGGGCCCCCAGCCTCCTCGTCGCGTCACCTGCACCCCTTCCTCTATCCGCGGCCCCCGCTCCCTCCGCCCCCCCCTTCCCTCTCTCACTTCCCACGCCCCCTCTTCGCTCTGCTCTCTCCTCCCTTTGCTGCCCAGCCACGGCTCCGGAGTTGGGGGAGAGCCCAGGGTTTCGGTTGATCCGGAGGAGGCGTGAATTGCGCGGGGATTGACTAATTTGGGGTGGGGGGCGCGGTGGGCTATGGAACAGCCCGAGGACATGGCGTCGCTGAGCGAGTTCGACTCCTTGGCGGGCAGCATCCCAGCCACCAAGGTGGAGATCACCGTGTCCTGCAGGTGAGCCTCCCACTGGCCGGATCCCCCTGCCCCGCCCCTGGACCCAGAGCCCCTCGGCTCCTTCGGCTCCAACCCCTACCTCCGCGCGCCCCCTTCAAGAGTATCCTCTTCTCCAGGGCGCCCCTCCGCCTGTCCGGCCCAGCCACGGGTGGCGAAGGCGAAATGGGAAGCCAGGCTTAGGGTCGTATCCCGGAAAGTTTGCACTCCGGCTGTTGTTGGGAGGCGATGAGAAGACACAGGAATGGGGGTCTAGGCGCCTGAGTAGAGAGAGGGAAGTCGTGAAAGGATAACTAGGATCTTCACGCAGTCTATTTCTGAGCATCCCCTCACCAAATCCAGAGGAGTGTGATTCGCCTCATCCCTCCCTGGCGTCCCCAGCCTCTGCCTTTGTGCCCTCCTTTCCTCCTTTCTCCCCCTTCCTTTGCCCCAATACCCTCATCCTCTCCCCCCTCACCTATCCACCGTTCTAGATCCCAGGATTCTAAATTCATCTCCTACAACAAACTGACTCTTGGAAAGAAAAGGATCAGATTGACTCATTTATATTGCGGTGTAGATAACTGATAACAACTTCAAGTGGCACCATTAAAAAAAAAATCCATAACCTGGGTACAAAATCTTAAGCCAAAGGACTAGAACACTGAGTGTGGAATTTTAGAGTCCAGCAGGGGAGGGGGAGGAGTGTTTTTGTAGGGTACCATCCCCAAATCCTCAGTCATGTCTCACAGGCTTTGGGGCTAACTTCTTCCCCTAAGCTGGGTCTCTGCCAGGTTCTATCTGAGGGGACGGCTGCCCCAGGCAGTAAGGGGTACATGTGGGGGAGAGGGGATTTTTCCCTAGTGCAGTCACCCTGTGCCTTGCTGGGACTTTGAGGGGCGCTGTGGCCTATGCATTACCCACCATTTAGGTTCTGCTGAAGAGACCATTCCCCTGTCCCAAATGACCAACAGCATTTCCAAGGTCCTAGGTGTGCCCTTGTTCAAAATCACCCACACTATCATCTTCCAGACCCCTCATTGGTCAGACCTTTCACCCACCCTCATGGGCCCCCAACCCTGTATTCCCAAGTTGTGGCATTGGGGAGGAGTACATAGAGCCAGAGGAGCTGAGTTAGGGCGTGAGAAAGGGAAGGATTTGGGTGGGGGCCTTTAAGTATGTCAGGCCCTGCTGGGGGCTCCTGCAATAACTTCCGCATGTCTCCCCCATAGTCCCATAGACAGTTTTGTCAGAATTATCTCCCAAGGCCATTTGCATCTTGCCATTACTCTGCTGGGAGTTTCCTAATGGCCCATTAGCTCCAGTCTCACCTCCTCAGCCATCAACACTGCCACAGCCTGCCTCCCTTCTGCCAAACACACATGCCTGCGCCTGCCACTCCTTCCCAGGCTTCAGTCGTGCCTGTGTCAGAGCTGTCTCAGGATCCTTCTCACCTCAGAGCCTCTGAAAGCTCATTCCTCATCCAGATTTCACCCCTCCTTCACATCTGTTAGTTCATATCCCCCCATCCTGAAAAGCCTGGCCTCATGCACCCCACTTCCAGCCGTCCTTCTCACCTATGAGAACCCAGCCCGAATCACTGTCTTCTGTGTCCTCTGGGTCCTGAGTATTCAGCCTGGGCCACAGGGTCTCTCACATACTGAGTGCAAAACCTCTGAAGACATCTCAGGTGTGTAGACTTTGTCCCTCTTCACCCAAAGTAACTATATAAGCATTTGAGGGCAGGGATTCCCCCCCCTGACTCAGACCCATGAACCCTCTGCTTCAGTGGAGAGGAGAGGAGGCAGATGGCACATAGCATTGTGACTTTGGAACCTTAAAATGGATTCTGCTCCACCACTTGGGCAAACTTTTAGACTCAGTTTCTCCCATTTTTCGAGTATAAATAACAAATCTGTATTTATTGAGAAAACTTGTTCACTGAAGTAGACCACATGCTTGAAATTGTTACTGGGACATTGCAGCTACTCAAAAAAAATTCCTCCAACAAGTTAGAGGGATTAATTTACAGGAGTAGAGGATTGCAAAGCCTCCAACATGGTACTTTGCATTTGCTTTGCACACAGTAGGTGCTCAACAAATAGCTACAATGATTACTGTAAGGCAGTAGCACTTGTCCTCTCCTATTTGCTCTCTGGAAGTGGAGGTGTCCGTAGGACTCAAATCTTTTGCCTAAGAGGTACCTAAGAATACATATGAGTTCCCAGGGGATGTGGTTCTGGTATCAACCCTGGTGTCCATTCACTTCCATAGGACATCAGCCCAAGGAGGGCACGATCCAGGCCCTGCTCCTGCCCTCCCAAAAGCCTGAGGGTAGAGAAGTGGGTTTTTCAGTAGGAAGGGGTGAGGAGGGAGGAATGGAGGGGAGGCAAGAACATAATGTGGGTGGGCTTGAAATTATAAATCCATTTCTTTGCCTCAACCAGGTCCAACTACCCAGGTTCTAGAACAGATCGAGAAAGAGAGAGAGAGAGAGAGTAGGGGAGAGAAAAGGAAAAGGAGGAAGAGAGGAGGAGGATGGGGGAGGAGAGAGAACTGCTGCAAGGAATAGCTTTCTCCAGCATATTCTATACTCCATGGCCAGCAATTATGACAGTTAAATTCTCCTCCCCTGCATTCCGTGGTCAGCACTGACTGGGCCCCAGGGGAGGAGGCTATAGGGTGCCCCTGCCCTGAGTATCTAAGGGACACTTGTTGATGGGCAGGCACTAGTAGGGCAGGCAGAGGGGTTGGTGGGCTGAGAACTCTGGGGGGCTTCAGAATGGGCAGCTGGGGATGAGGAGGCCGATGTTTCAAGGGAACTGGAAACTAGCATTCCTGGGAGCTAGTTCCCTTCCCTCTCTGCTCCTTAGGAAGGTCCCTGCCACCCCTGCAGCCCTAGGAGGTCCCCACTATTGCCCCGGGGAGGATCTGATCCCCTACCATGCCTATTCTAGGACACTTCTAGCTGAACAAAGCTGCCTGGGACAGGAGCAAGTTTGAGTCCCAGCATAGGACCACTACAGATGACACTGTAGGATGGACATGTCTGGGGCCCCTGCTTCATGTTTGGTGTCTCTTTGGCTAACCTATAGTCCATTCTTAAACAATTGTTTTTACTGATTTGGGTAAACTCAAGGCCAAATATTTTAAAGCCTCTGGTTGTTTGGCTCAGTGCTTAAGAACATGAGTCTATGAGGTCTGCCTACCTGAGTTCAAATCCCTGTGACCTCGGGTAAAGTACTTAACCTGGACCTTAGTTTCCTCATCTGTAAAGGAAGCATGATAATCCTTGATAATCCTTATCACAGTTAGAAGGATTAAATGGATTAATCCATGAATAGTAATGTATGTTGCTATTGTTTGACACCTGAAAGTAAATTAAAAATCTGTCTCTATAGCTGGGTCCCAGGGATTCTGTGGGTCCTGGAGTTCTGATCTATCTAGAAAGTCTTATTTTTACCCCCAGCTTTTTTGACATATATATGACACACTGTATATATTTCAAGATTCTGAGGGGTTGTTTTGGAAGTGAGTAGGGTAGATGGTTTGTGAAACCAAATTCCAGCAGACATTGTAGAAAGTGAACAAGCTTCTCCTTCTCCTGATGATCTGTTCCAGACCTCTCCTGACTTTATCAGCCTCCCTGAAGACCCAGTCAAAACTCATCTGTCCAGTGTCCCATTCCCTAAGGCCCCCACTATTTTTCACGTCTCTATGCTTCATCTGATGCAGACATCCAGACCAGTGTGTTGGTTAGAAACAGCAATTTGCATTTTTTATGTAACAGGAAATCTTTGCACTTCCATGGGGTCTTGCTGGCAGAAGCAATGCACAGTTCTACATGGTGGGGCTCTGGAGACCCATAGGGAAGGCAGGGAGGGGAGGCGGTGGCTTAGCCCTGCTGGGATCGCTCAAGCAGCTGTCCCCTCCCCTCCAGCTGGCGTGGGGCTGGTGGGCAGCTGTTGCTGCTGCCCTAGAGATGTTGTTTTCTACTGTCTCTTCAGATTGGCATTTTGCTGCCCTGGGGCATGAGAGGCGCAGCCTCACTCAAGAACTGGGCCCTCAGCCTCTCAGAAGGGGTGTGAATGGTCTCAGAACGAATTCTTCTGACAGGCAGGAGGAGGGTGGCTTTGGGGAAAGAAGGGCCTGGGGGCAGTGTGGCAGCTGTTAGAGGCAGTGCTAAAAAAAAAAAAGAGGCCCATTCAGCCATTAAATGCTCCACAGCAGTCTTTAGTGGAGCCAGGGGAATAATGACAGTGGGATTTATTGAGTGCTTACTACATGCTAGGTGCTTTACGTCTGTGTTAGGCTGAACCATATGCAATTGCCTATACTCAGCTGTTTTTAACCTACTCAAATAGCAGTTTGGTCCAAACTGAGATTATTGTATTAGTTTTCAATTGCTGTATAAGAAATCACCACAGAGCGGAGGGTATAGCTCAGTGGTAGAGCGCGTGCTTAACATGCGCAAGGTCCTAGGTTCAATCCCCAGTACCTCCATTAAAATAAATATATAAATAAACCTAATTACCCCCTCGCCCCAAAAAAAGAAAAGAAAAGAAGATAAATTACCACAAATGTAGGGGCTTAAAACAATAGCCATTTGTTATCTCACAGTTTCTTTAGGTCAGAAGCCCAGGCACCACATAGCTGGGTTTTCTGTTCTGGGTCTCCCAGGCTGAAATCAAGGTGTCTGCAGGGTCTGTGATCTCATCTGAGGCTTGGGTCCAAGCCAAGCTCATTTAGGTTGTTGGCAGAATTTAATTCCTTGCAGCTATAAGATTAAAGTCCTGTGTTCTTGCTAGTTGTTGGATCGGGCGTCTTAGCTCCTACAGGCCACCCTCAGGTCCTAGCCATGTGGGCCTCTCACAACAAGGCAGCTTCCTTCTTTAAAGTCAGCGAGAGACTCTCTCCCCAGTCTGCTACTTAAATAAAGTAACAGAAGTGAGTATTCCATCATATTCAGGTCCCACTCATACTCAAGGGGAGGGGATTGTGCAGACTTGTACACCAGGAGGCAA